TGTTGTCACTCCTACTCCTACCCACAGATTAGGGAAAGTGGGAGGAGGAAGAGAAAGAAACATATCCCCATTTAAAATAAATCACAGTGATACAGCAGCAAGTGTTACATTCAAAGCATAAAATGGACCATTGTTGCATTTCTCCACTGTCAATTTCTAAATTCCATTTCTATGGAAAAATGGGTGATGGCATCTTCAAGCTGCTTACTGCGGAGAAAGGGCAAAGTTGGGAGAAGTGATCTGAAGTTCTTGTTCTCTATCAAGTGGGGCATGGACAGTTAAGTTAAGGGTATTCAGCATCAGGGCAGTCCAAAGGTCCATGGTGGCAGTTGGTGGGTGACTGGAGAAGGTATACATATGGCAGGTAGCATGCAGATGGCCAAGGGTATTGTAACTTTACTGCATTCAGTTTCCTTTTTCTTGAAGTAGACCAAGATGGAGCAACTTATACTGTTCAGGGACAGAAGGTGGGAGTTCCCTGAAGCAAAAAGAGTTTCAACAACTGCATGGACAATTCTTCAGTCTCTATTCATTTACTCACAGGAATAGCTCCTCCAGTTCGACCCAAGGCAAACTCACCCCTCTCCAAATGTTCCAGCAGTCAGCTGTCAACAAACTTACCAGGCACCTTGTATCCTCAGCACGGAAGAAGGGTTGCCTGGAGAGGCAGACATGCCCAAGAAAACTGGAGAGGGGGCTGTTCTCAGGTCAACCATTTGTTACTGAAAGCTTGGTCCCTGTCCTCATGCCAATCCAATAATCTAAAATATAGATTTCCTATCCTCGGGATCCTCCTTTTACATTGTTTTGCAACCCTGTAAGAACAGAACCTATAGACACCCAAGGAATAGTTATCAGCCTGTACTAATCAGGGTTCTCCAAAGAAACAGAACCAACAGAATATCTACAGATAGAGGCTAAAAAGTCTCATATATACTGCCTACAAACTGAGGAACCAAGAAAGCTGGTGTGTAATTCAATCCTAGTCTGAAAGCCAGAGAATTAGAGACTTGATGATATAAATCTTGGTGTGAGTCTAAAGTTGGAGAAACAGCTGCATTAATGTCTAAGGATAAAAGATGGCTATCTCACCACAAGTAGAGAGTAAATTCACCCTTCCTCCACCATTTTGTTCTGTTCACATCCTCAATGGATCGGATAATACTCACCCATATTGGGGAGAAACATCTGCTTCACTCAGCTCAACTATTCAAATGCTAATCTTTCCAGAAACATCCTCATAGATACAACCAAAATTAATATATTCCTAGCTAGCTGGTCATCCCTTAGTCCAGATGAGTGTACACATAAAATTAACCATAGCACATAGTTTATTTGATTGATGCAGAGTCTCAGGGGATTTACAACAGTAAAAAATGGAAGAAATTTACAACACAATACAAGATAAAAAACAAATATAAGAAAAAAACATCAGAACAAACATAAAAAGGTCAGGTTTCTTTGCATTTGCAAAGTATATTATTTAGTTATTATTTATATTTCAAATGTCCATTTTCATTGAATTCATTCACTTATTCAACTTAAGTTGATTGAACACCCATTATAAACCAAGTACCATCCTAGAGAAAACACAAATGTTCCCAGAGCTTTCTAGGTATCAGAGGAGTCAGATACTATATAAATAATTGTTTAATTGTTATTGGGAATAATTAGCTGAGAAACAAATACTATGTATATTTATAATATATTGTAGAGCACTCTACTCCCACTGGAATAGCTATACTGAGTAATCTTAACCATACCAAATATTGTAAACGTTGTGGAGCAACTGGAATTCTTGAGCACTGCTGGTAGGAACTTAATATGGTCCAGCCACTTTAGTAAACAGCTTGACAGTTTATTCTAAAGTCACACACACATTTTTCATGAGACCTAGTAATTCCAGTCCTTGGTATTTACACAAGAGAAATGAAAACACATGCCCACACAACAGCTTGGACACTAACCATTATAGCAGCTTTATTCATAAGAATAAAAAACTGGAAACAATCCAAATGCCTGTCACTAGGTAAATGGATCCATAAATCAGTACAATGGAATACTGTTTGGCAATAAAAAGGAAGGGACTTCTAAGACATCAGAGAACCCAGCAAAATTATTGAAAGTTTGATAGAAGAAAATATCCAGATTCAAACAGACTGTATGAATTTTTCTAAGTTCAGGAACAGGAAAAACCCTATTAGAAATCAAATTAGAATTGCCTAGGGTGGAGGTGGTTATTGACTGGGAAGTTTCTGGGAACTTCCTGGGCTGATAGAATGTATGATACCTTCATTGGATAATGATTTCACGAATCAATGTGATTGCCAAAACTCATGGAACATGAACTTCAAACTTCAGATTAAAAAGAAAATGGTACTACATGGTGACTGCTGGTGACTGGAAGCAGGGGATCATAATGTTTTTGATGAGGAAGAATGTGGAGAGTAGGCTAGGCTTGGCTCTGAAATACTCTATGATGTATAGAACAGTGGTTTGCAGGCTGTGCCTAACCCTCAGTTACTCCATTATATAAAACATTAGTTTGGTACGAGTTACTCCATTTTGAGTAAAAGTGCCAAGCAGAATGACTCTATACTTGGTTTGTACAAGTAAACAACCACCGTCTGCACAGCACAAGCATAAGGCACAAACTGATAAATTGTGTTAATAAAAATGACCCATCTGTGAACTTCCTGAATTAAATCATGCATCAACTTATTGATGCAAGGGGTGTATCAACCCCATATCTGTCAAACCAGGCCCACACGCTTATTGAATTCACCAGTCCATTGAATGAAACAACCTTCTCACCTGGGACCCATAAAAGGAGGAACACCCCCAAGAATGCCTGGTGCTATACACCCTGACCCATTGTGAGATGGAGATGATGAACCTCCGACCCTCTGTTCCTGGGTTTGATCTTACTGATCGATGGCCCACTTTGAAACTGCTTAGCTTGACATTCCTGCTTCATGGCCCACTTTGGAATTGCCTGCCAACCTGACTCTGTGTGTTATGACAGTCCTGTACCCTGAACAAGTTCTTTAGCAGCTTACAGTCTTATTTGACTGACATTCAGTGATGACTCTTCCATTTGTATCTTCTTTCTGCCTTTGTACTTTGTTTAGCCCCCCTGAACCCCTGTGGCTACCTTAACCCTTTCTTAGCCTTTCTGTAATTTGTATATATATATATATATATATATATGTATATATGTATATATACATATATATGTATATATATATATACATATATATGTATATATATATATATATATGTAAAGCATGATGTGCAACTGAAGTGTTACAGATAATGGTAATTAGGATTGGAATGAAAGAACCTATGATTGCATGCTTGCCTCTCTCTGCTGCCTGGTAGCCACAGGGAGCAGCTTTCCTCTTCCATGTGGTTACACCATAATGTTTCTGCCTCAAAGCCAGCCAATCATGGAATGAAACCTCTGAAATGGATTAGAGAATCCATTTGACTAAATGCAACAGCACAAAATTGGAACTGAATCTGCTCTAAAGGAGATCAAAGAATTTTTGGACAAACTCCATAATGAAATTAGTAGGACTCTGGAAAAGACTGGTAGCTGAGAAAAGCACTTGAACAATCAACTTGAGCACTTGGATCACAACATCCTACAGTGCAAGCTCAGCTGAGTGAGACAAGGGAATGACACCAGCAGGGAAATAGTGGAGTAACTGAAAGGACAAGACTCTGATCTGAAGTTACAGAGGAATTCAGAAAGGTTAAACAAGAATTGGAGAAAAGGGTACCAGCATGACTGATGTTGCTCCTTTGGTGAAGATTAAGCAGAGCTTAAGCAAGAAACTTTCAGATGTATGTTAGAATTAGTGTTGTGGGGGCTGGGGATGTAGCTCAGTGGTAGAGCTTACCTTAATTAAGCATGAGGCCCAGGGTTCAAACAGTACTTAAAAAAAAATCAGTAATGTGGAACAATATTACTCCAATCAAAACTGAATGATAAATCCAACATCACTAGAGAAAAGGGACACACATGCAATAATTTCAGAAGCAGTAATAGGCTCTTATCAAATAACACACTGGCTTTCATACTTCTAGTTTTTTTTTTAATGTCAAATTATATTTCACATTGCATAGGTTTCTAAATGTAATTATACCTCTAAAAACACAACCAATGGGTATTTTTGCATTTACACACATACACATTGTATCATGATAATTATAATGGTTAACACATTTATATTGAATATAATGTTCAATAAAGTAACTAAAAAACAACAAGAACAATATCTCTGTGATTGCTGGGCTTCTGACTACAAGTCACCCACAAGTACTCAGTAAATTGCAACCGATTAAACTAGTGTGGCTTGTGAATAAATTCTGACATTGTGGCAAGACATAGTGTTAGGTCTGTTAATCCCATAGCTAGCTCTCAACAAAGAATATTACAATGTATTCTGGTTTTAGGAAAAAAAAAAAAATGGTCAGAACATCATGATTGAAATAAGCCAGATTCAGAAAGACTAGGGTTGAATGTCTTCTCATAGGCAGAAACTAGGGAGAAATAAGGAATTTAAAAAGGGGTGGGGATACCATGCAAGTACAATGAAGAACAGTGAAGTAGAGAAAGTGGAATAAAGAGAGTGAGGGAGGAGGAATGGGAAAGAAGAGGAACGGAATGAAGTTAATCACACCAGGGTATGTGCACGTATGAATTCTTCTTTTATGTATAACTATAACGCACCAACTTAAAAAATAAATAAACTTTTTAAGAAAGAAAGAAAAAAAAAAAAAAAAAAAACGTCCGGAGAAGTGGAAGGAGATACCAAGCACCAGAAACTTTGTTAGTATTGATTTAAGTGGAAGAAAACTTGGCAGCGATCTGTATATGACACAGCGAAGGCAGGGTACTGCAAAATCCGCTAGCGGTAAACTGTTGGCCCCGCTGGCAGTGTCCACCCAAGGAAGCCCTCAAACCCTCCCAAGGCGTCCCAGCATTCACGCCAGTTCCTGCAGCTACCGCTGCCTCCACTGGGAAGCACGAGCCCTGGCAGGCGGGCGCTCTCCGGCGTCGCGCTGACGTCACGCGCGTGCTGACGTCGCCGGCGGCCGCGGCTTCTAGAGCGGGCTGGGGCTCGGGGGGCGCCGAGTTTGACTGGTTTGGGGTCCGCTGGGCGCTTGGCGCAGCTTCCGCCCACCCCCGCGCCCCAGGAGCCGCGCCCCGGGCTGGCCGAGCGCATCCCGCGGGCTCCCACGGGGACTCGCCCTGGCGGCTGGGCGACGCTCGGCGAAAGTTGGCCCCTCGCGGGAGGGCTGGCCGGCGGGCGGGCGGCGGCCGCAGCTATGGAGCCCCGCAGCATGGAGTACTTCAGCGCCCAGGTGCTGCAGAAGGACGTGGGCAGCCGGCTGCAGGTGGGCCAGGAGCTCGTGCTCTACCTTAGCTCTCCTGGAGCCATCCCGGACCTGGGGGACGACCTGAGCCGCCTGGGCAAGACCGTGGACGCGCTCACCGGCTGGGTGGGCTCGAGCAACTACCGGGTAAGTGGTGGCGGCGCGGCGCGGCGGGGCACGCCCTCGCTCCCGACCGGCCCTTTAATCCTGGACGTGCGCGTCTGGCCGGGAGCTCCCGAGCAGCGTCGGCGCGGCAGAAGACCCCGGCGAAGGGGAAACTCGGGGATCCGGGGCGCTCCGTCTTTCTTTTCGCGACTGTGACTTTTCACCACGACCAAGTTTTTCCACGCTTGTGAAACAACGACAAATTCAGCTATTCCGTGACACGTTGCGGAGTTACTTGGCACGGGGGCGGGGGGGCACAGTGTTTATCACTTACTTGGAAAAAAAAATCATTGATAACATATATACAGTAAAGGGATCCAAGACTTTTTAATATTTGTTCTCGCCAGTGTAAACTCTATGTACGAAGACATAGGACGTTAGGATACGATTTTGAGTTGAAAAGAGATGTCAAATTAATCCCCTCCTACTGATTTTCATCCTACTCAGTCTCCCGGTTCCTTCCTCCCCCCTCCCACCCCCATAATTGTTATGTGTGGAAGGTGGTGATCTTAGTCTCTAAAAGATTTTAAGGGCTTAACTAGGTGTCCGATTGTGTTTACTGTTTTTTCTTATGAAAAACTGTAGATCCTGTTACATTATTTGCTTTTCCTTATTGACGACCGGAAGCAGTTGAAGGCTCTTCATTTTGTTGTAATGCAGCTGAGGATTGACTCGGACTTGAAACCATGTGCTACCAGGTTTATTGGCGAGGAGGAGGATGAGGTATAAGAAGAAATGAATGTTTATTTAGAGTCAGTAGTAGCAGACTATAGTGTAGCTATGTAGAGAGGCCAGGTAAATATTCTGTAATTAGCCTGTTCTGTAGTAGTTAGCTGTTACTTTTCTTTCCAGTCTTCTGGTGGCAGTGTTGCTTTAAAATGCTGGCGGGAACCTGTGGATGAAGTGATTTTTCTTAGAAATATATCCTTATATCCAGCAAATAGGCTGTACTTTGAAAGCTTCTCTATGCAGAGAAGAAAGACAAACTCTAGAATTATGATGCAGATTTAATGGTAAAACCTACTTGAAAATTTACCACTTTTGTGCTTCATTACATATTATATCTTTATTGTTCTTATTTGGGAAAAGTTATTGTTTACTAATATATCATTGCCATTTGGGAATATTAGTTATTTGGAGAAACAAGCTAAATTTACTTACTTTTTAAGAAAGACATGCTCAAGGTAGTTGATTTTATGATACAGCACAGATTCTTGTAGAAAATCAGCTCTTTGACAATGTTTGTTCACCTTTCCAAGTGATTGATGTGCCCCCTGCTTCTCATTGACTGTAGCTAATCTGCTTTGAGCTATTTCACTCCTCGGGTGTACTGTCAGTGAATGGATGGTTGAGCAGTCCATCTCTTGAAACACATCTGGCTTCTGTGATAACACAGTATCCTAATTTTTCTGTTAATGCCTCGAGCTCTATTTCTGCTTGGTGCTGTTTTTAACTGGTCCTTAAGAGTAAGGATCCTTCAGGGGTCTGCCTCAGGTTTTCATTTGTTTTTGCTGTACATTCTTTCCATGCTCTCACCAGATACTCAGAAGAGACCTGCCACAGGCTTCCACCAGCTTATTTACACACTTTCTGGTTGCTCTCCCCAACAGTCTACCTTTTTTGCTGTTATGATGGATGAACTACCTGCCTTCCTCACTTAACACCAATCCCTCCTCATGAGTATTATTAGCTTCCATGTCCTCTTATCTACTCAAGGATATTTGATCCATCAATTCTTTCTTCTTCTTGAATTATTGAACCAATAATTCTTTAATATAAAATTACTAAATTCTTTAATATAAAAACTTCTGACATTACTAGGGAGAGAGTATTCTAATTAGTGTTATTTGGGTTTTATAAACTAAATTGCATATTCTGTTTTTACTCGAGAGACAATGAAACACACCAAATTCTTTTTTTTTAAATTGATTTTGAACATTCCTGGGGTTTAAACCCAGGGTCTTTTATCCAGATAACTATCACTAAATCTCAGCCCACACCAAAGTCTCTTAAAAAAAAATGTAGGAATATTGAATGTACAAATAGAATTGTACTTAAATTTTAAATTATGCTGAACAAACTAGTTTTTCTTTGGTTTTGATACTTTAGAATTTATGTCATAACAGTCATTGCTTTGATACATTTGAGTACTGTCTATATGCTGGGTATTGTTCTTGATGGTGAGGATCTAGCTGTGAACCAGACAGGCAAGACTCATTCATTTAGATATTTTTTGATGACCTAACATGTGCAGGCACTTACTACTATTCTAGGCACTGCGGATACAATAGTGAAAAAGAGATATCCTTGCCTTTGTGGACTTACATTTTAGTGGGGATAGAGGAATAGGCAAGATAAGTAAATAAAATCTATTGTGTGGTAGGTGGTGATGAATAGTTTGGAGAAAAACAGTGAAGGGAATAGGAAATTTTAGGCAGGATTAAGCCTAAAGAAATTAGGATATTCATCCTTCTTTCCTTTTTAAAACTTGTTTTCTATTATTTGTTAGCTTTATTTTCATTCTTGTACATTGTGAGCAACAGTAACATTTACATTTCATCTGCATCTGTAACAGTAAATTGACTCTAAAAATGAAGAAAACAATAAGTAGTATTTATATTATAACTACATAGTGCTACCTAAGTAATGTGCTAGGATTTCATGCTTCTGGGAATTCAAAATTATAGCCTCCTTGACTTTCTAAGGATAATATTTCCCAACATCAGCTTCACTTCAATTATATTTCCTATAAACTATCACTATTGTACTTTTTTTAAAATGGGATGCGGGGCTCAAACCTAGGGGTACTGTGCCACTCAGCTACATTTCCAGCCCTTTTTATTTTTTATATTGAGACAGGATCTTGCTAAATTGCTCAGATTGGCCTTGAACTTGTGATCCTCCTGCCTTAGCCTCCTGAGTTGCTGGGATTATAGGCATGTGCCATAACATCTAGCTACCATGTTTTTGTACCCCCCCTCCTCAAAAGATGTTTATCTACCAACTAATATATGTGTATTTTGGCCTGTTCCTTTCCAGGTTGTTTTTAATATTTTTACTATTAACATTGTATATTGTCACTTTGTACATATGCATGAGAATTTCTCTTGGTTATTGATTCTAATTGGTCAGATTTAGCATCTTCCTTTAATGCTCCCTTTATAATCCTGAAATTAAATGTATAGAGAATACCTATTACACATAATTTTAAAAAATCTGTGTAGTGTCCTCTAACAGTAGTATAAAGGAAAATTACATGTAATTTATAATGAGGTAAAATATGTTGTTTTCCCTTAGTTTGAACAGGGAATTGGTTCCATTCCTCTCTCTCATATACTAAAATCCTCAGTGTTCAAATACCTTATATAAAATGGTGTAGAGTTTACATATAACCTATGTATCCTTCTATATGCTTGAAATCATTTCTAGATTAGTTATATTGAATACTATGTAAACACCATGTAAATAGTTATATTATTTAGGAAGTAATGACAAGGAAAAAATGTACATTTTCGGTGTAGATCCACAATATATTTTTCTCAAATATTTTTTCTGAGGTTGGCTGAATCTGAGCATGTAGAACCCACAGATTTGGAGGACTGACTGCATTTCCATGTTTAATGTGCCAACCAGACTGATCAAGAAGACATGATAGTTACATGGCTGCAACAGTACGTGTAATAGTTATAATGCTGTCACAATCAATTCAGACTATTACAAATGTGTGGTTGCTGGGTGATTCATTGTTGATGACAGTGATACTCTGTAAGTCTAACTTTTTTAAAAATATATTTTTAGTTGTAGATGGACACAATACCTTTATTCATTTATTTTTATGTGGTGCTGAGGATTGAACCCAGTGCCTTTCACATGTGAGGTAAGCGTTCTACCACTGAGCCACAACTTCAGCCTTGTAAGTCTAAATTTTGAACCTCATTTCTTCAGTACACTAGCCTACAAAGTTTGATCATCCCATCTGACATCCTTTTCATTAAGCTTTTAACTGTCCTGCACTCTTTTTTTATTTTTATTTTTTTAGTTGTAGATGGACATGATACCTTTATTTATTTATTTAAGTTAGATATATTTTTAGATGTAGATGTGTACAATATCTTTATTTATTTATTTTATGTGATGCTGAGGATTGAATCCAGTACCTCACACATGAAAGGCAAGCACTCTACCATTGAGCTACAGGCCCAGCCCCTATCCTGTACTCTTTTTTTTGCGGGGGGTTACCAGGGATTGAACTCAGGGGCACTCAACCACTGAGCCACATCCCAGCCCTATTTTGTATTTTATTTAGAGATAGGGTCTCACTGAGTTGCTTAGCACCTTGCCATTGCTGAGGCTGGCTTTGAACTCATGATCTTCCTGCCTCAGGAAGATTCCAAGCTGCTGGGATCACTGGCATGTTCCATTACATCCAGTTGTCCTACTCTCATCACTGAGCTAAATATCATGGTCAGTCATTAATCACACCCTTATATTCATTCTTAATTTTTGTCTACCTTCTCATTCTTGATTTATTATCCTCATTTAATAAACTTCAGTATGAATTAACCCAACTCTGCCTATCTTTATACCTGCACCAGTGGAACTTAAGGTGGATGGATGAAAACACAGTTTTTTAAACTGGCTTCATTTAAATTTGTGGACTGAAAGTTGGCCCTTAATACTGTCTGGCATCATACTGTATTTTGGAGTTCATTCACTGTTTCACTTAAACAGCTATTTTACATCTTTTTCTCTCCCCTTAGAGAGAGATACCAATATCTTCTTATCTATTATCACTGTCAGCTAAGTCCTTCCTTCCTACTCCATTGAGGAAATTGAAGGAATTAGAATTTTTAAAATTCTCCCATAGTGTATCTACTCACCTTCCAGCATTTACACCCATGACAATCTCCTAATATTTGTTGCATTAGTAAATGAAAGCACACTTGTCCTTTGATTTACCTGTTGATTGAATTCCTGGAAAA